CGCACTAGAGCATGATCTGAATCTAGGCATGTGCTCCAGAATGAGCGACAGTCTTCTATCGAGCCCCTCCATCGGTGGCTGATAGCGATGTGATCTATTTGGGTCCAACGTTGGGACGAATTAGGGGGTCGCCATGTTAAAAGATGTTTTTCCTTATGCTTAAAGTTAGTATTTGAAGGCGGTTATCTGAGCATAGCTGCAACAGACGGTCGCCATTATCTGTTCTTTGAGCCACGACACCATAAGATCCACCTAGGTGTCTTTCCTATCGCTTAGTTTACCTACTTGAGCATTAAAGTCACCGGCCACTATTACTACATCCGAGCGCCTAGCTTTTCGGAGAAGGTCCGAAAGCTTTCTGTAAAACTCATCTTTTACATCATCTGAGCTGCAGTCAGTGGGAGAATAGGCAGAGACGACGAAGAGGCAACGACGAGTGTCCCTATCTTTCCGGATTCTTACTGTTCCGTTCAGTCGGACAGCGCACAAACGACTGTCTACTGGGATCCACTCTAAGAGAGCTAGTTCTGCCCTAGGACTCAATGCTATACCTACGCCGGCGAGGCCACGGGAAGCAGAATCAGGGCTTCCAGATACACGAAGCGTAAATCGAGTCGGTTCTTTATTTTGGCATGGTGAGGTCAAATGAATGACGCTACTCGGATCCTGTATGCGCGTTTCGGAGACGCAGCACACATCGATGGCGCGAGATTCTAAAGTTTTAGCTAAGGAAGCCTGCTGTCCTATTTGGCAAAGTGTTCGTACGTTAAAAGCTCCTACGTGTAGTTTAGAGCGTGGTTTCAGGAGACCAGGAATGGCGTTCCACGTACTCGAATCGTTTGCCCTAGCGGTGCGAGGTGATAAAAGGACGTGAGGAGGGTTAGTCGGGAGATAAGAGAGTATTAGGAGGTGTAGGAAGGATTTGAATGTGACCACCTTGGTCTCGTGTGCTGTTACGGGTATGAGGGCTGATGTCACTTCCCGGCTGCCCACACCGTGGAAGGGTATTTCTTGAGGAACCTGAAAAGGAAATTGGATTAGTGTTGGTCTTGACGACCTGGGAGCGTGACCGCAGAGCCCAAGGGACAACTGCTTGAGGCCGGTCGCGCACGGCCTTTTTGTGGAAGGTTTTTGACGTGTTAGCTCCGTTCTTCAAAGGGCCTTACCGCCGGAGACGGAAATCCGTGAGGTAAGGTGAGGTGTGACATTTTTAGGGTCGACCTTTTCTAACCCCACCCCTCCTTGTGGGAAGGCAGCATCGCTGCAATGCTGGTTGTCCGGGGGAAACACCTTACTGCTGTCACACCCCTCTACAGTCAGCAGTACGACTTCGCCCTCAGACCTCAATGATATGTAAAGTTCCAGGCACAGAATAGAAATACCAATTGACATAGTTGTGAGCCGAATTTGCGTCAAATCGATTAGATAAATATAAAAACAGTTTACGACTGACTATCACCACGTGGTGGGTGGCCTATGTTACTCGGCTAGGGGTAACATGCATAAGTAAGTAATCACCACGTGAGATGATTTCGAAAATTGTATTGAAAAAGAAATTTTCAGGTGGTGTCACAACGTGGTAGGTTACAGTGTGAGTGAGACAGATAAAATCAAAACCTAAAAAGACAGAATAAGCAGAGATGGATGTTGGTTAGCAGTGGCTTTCAGGACGCGCGTTTCGTCCTACTTGGGAGTCGTTAGCTGGATGTATCTGCATCCAAGAGTTGATGTTCACTCTGGGACTCGAATAACCAATGAAAAAAATGAATCGAGAAAAAACAGTACAAAACAAATCATGTTAGAGCGGTCATAATGATAATTATTGAAATAGAGTATTGTCAGTTATGAAAATTCCGAACATTTACCGAAAACGATGCTGAAGTATGGAAGTAAAACATTTAGAACTTCTAAATGAACGGTGTTTATCATGTTCAGACAATATTGACAAATTATATGTAAACGTATTTCCATTCAGAGAATATTTCGACTGAGATAATGTTTCTGTGTTCTCTGTATTTCGCAGAAGTATATAAGTGATCAATCCTACCAATGAAAGTCAGAAACATTCATCATCTTTGTTCCCATATCCCACTTCGATGTAACAAAGTCTTTAATGTTATTTCAGAGGTAACAGTACCTATTTACAGGGACTGATTTTCTGTCCAGATTATATCGACAATAACACATGCAGATGTTCAACTTCCACTCGATATTTATAAGAACCAGGGGAACTATAAGATGCTATTCAGCATAAATAAATACTTGTAACAGATAAAATTTTCAAAGGTTCATACAAAACAACTCTCATTCTTACATAAACAAGGGAGAAAATAATGTTTACCGAATAAACTATAAACCGGAAATAGTTTTGTGTTGCAAAATATGATGAGGAAAAAAACGAGGAACCAACCAAAATGAATCTATTTCTCTTCATGAAATAGATGTATTGAGTGAAAAAAATATCTGTGTATATACATGCATGTGTAAATGTTAAGTAAAAACAAAAAATAAGTAAATGATTATTTAATATGCTTCGTTGTTTACTGTTTTTGAAAGGAAAACCTTCAACAATAATCTGAAACTGAGGAATCCAGGAAGAAGGTGTAATTGCAAAGAAACTTGGTATTCAGGCAGACAAGCTGGAATAGTTCAACTTTGCATATGTAGTAACAAAAACATTATCTTGAAGCACAGTAAGTTAGCAAACAAAAAGTAGTGACAGACAGTCAGATAAGAACAAGGGTTATAAGAAAATGTAAATTAGAAAAATTGTACGCAGGATTATTGCGTTTAATGACAAAAATTAAATAACGCATAATCTCTTTCGTAGAATGAAGACTTATGGTTGGTAGAATCAAGATTATATAGTCAAAATTCTGTGCACTAAACTTAGTCACATAAATTTTTAAAAATATTCTATTAAAAAGAGAAAAAGAATGAAATAAAAAACATGAAACTTTATGAAATAATGGATATTTTTAACAGCATAATAGTTGAACTAGTGGAAAGTCACTAAGTAGTAACTCAATTTATTTATACTACAAGGAACAAGGTATTATTTTACGAAAAAGGTTGTATACATGATAAACACATTTGATTTTCTACACACGCTAGAAGGAATAACTGATCAACTTATCCATGTTAAAGTCTACTAGAACAAATATTAAGATTTCAAAAAATCATTAAAAACAACAATCAATAAAGTGAAAACATTTTAACGAAGTACACGAAAATACAAGGGAAAATGGGAAGTTAACTAATACAAAAGATTTGGTAAAGATTAATCACGATTGAAAAAGTTTAGAAGTTCCGGGTCGAATAACACTAATTCGAATAGTCTTAATGCAGTAGCTACTTTATAGTTCCAGGTAACTTTTGGTGGTCAGTGTCAAATAACTGATGCTAACTGCTGATTGTCTTGAACCACTTAACATGTACAACTTAAATCAAAAACGACTTACTCGATGAAATGGTTTACCTAATCTCATCAACTTGAAATGAAATATTTTTCATTTTTATTGTAGTTCTTTCAAGCTAATAGCTTAGTTTAGGTGAGAAAGATGACAAACATGTGTTATAAACATCTCAGTAGATTCAAGCTCGAAAATACATGCGAGCAATTTATTCTTATTTATCATAAACTTAATATGTAGATTATCAAGTACAGGTCAATACACTCGACTACCTAGACTGACATAGGTATTGAAAATTCCCAATCAGCTCTATCCAATGTTTAAATGCTGAGGGCTTTCACTATTCAATCTATAGTTCATCTAAGGCTTAAACTGAATACTACCTACTTAGTAACTAATGTATTTTACATGAGCAATCTACTACGGTAATATTAATTCAAAAAACTATATCCGTTTTATAACATAAATCATTTTAAAGTGTTTTGTCCTACATACTCTGTAATATTAATTGTATATAGTTGAAAGAATAATAACACTTGGATGGTATAAATATTTATTACAGCTTGGTTTAAAATTCGTAATACACGATATATTTGAGAAAAACTACATAATCCTGTCTATCATTATAAACTGAACACAATATTCAATTTTATTCTATATAAAAAATGGATTGTATTATTTTCAACTTACTATAAACATTTACTGAATAATTAACAACTCAATCACATTGTAGTCAGTCAGTCAGTCAGTAACAACGTAGAACTTCGTACGTACGTGCATCAATCCCAGTTGCCATACCACATTAGCACAGAGATGCAGTTGTCGATTCAAATCACATAGTGGTAGAGGTAGTAAGATCATAAGCAGTAATCGGGAAGATTAGGGTTTGAAGATGTTATTCAAAGAGTATAATACAGTGAAATAAATTTGGGAAGAGAAAAAAGAGACAAGGAGGAATAAGGAGATCAAAATTTGGGAGAACAAAAAGAGTGTATGCACCTGCACCATCGCAAACGATTTTGAGTCATGTCATTCAGGGTCTCTAACCATTGGTTGCTATCATCACATTGTATCGATTCTCCGATGACAATTAATTGAAAAGAGATAATCAAATGATGGATATACAAAACAGACAAGAATTAATTGAATTAATAAATAAACAATTACATTGCTTTTTTGTAAAAAAAACCCAGTAAACCTTAATATATATATATATATATATATATATATATATATATATATATATATATATATAATTCAGAAAAGTAGTCAGTGGTGAAAAAATGATAATATTTTAGTTTTAATAAACCAATAATAGCTGAGATATTATCTAATAGGGCTCTAAAAGTACTCAAAGGTCACAAACTGGTAGTAATACAATTCTAAATGGTATATTTTGAAACACTATTTTCAAAAGTTATGAGATCTAGGTAAAGAAGACAGGGTTACAAACAATACAACGATTATATGTTAATAAAATTGAGGGATTGACACATCCTATCTCTAAATGACTGTGGTTATGAAATACTAACAATTAAATTCTGAAGTATCATGATTCTTTTTGCTATTTAAAAAAACCCAGCTTACCAGTACGGGGTCCCAATAAATGTATTCCGTTTACCAAATGTTTTATCTAATTGTGCACTCACTCCAAAATCGACTAAACATAGTGGCAACAGGAATAGAAACGAAGAGAAAAAAAAACACAGAAAAGTCACAAACTGATGTAATCTAAATTAATAAAAACAATTAATATCACAATTAGAACTGTTAACAACAGAAACTTTAAGTATGACAGTGAACAGAAATCTATCAGTATCATAAGCTGATAAATATTGAATTAAAAAAAACACCTTTGATGTACCCAAACAAACAATAACATGATAGCTACAGTTCAATGATGTAACCAAGTGTTACCTGATTACTTAATAACATATTTGAACTCAATCCCATTTATTTTTATTATAAGTCGTTAATTATCGGTTAATACATGTAACATTTAAATTACTTAACATGAAAAAATCTTTGTGGTGATAAGATAATAATATGAATTAATTAACTTGATCGATTGTCTTTTAAATACTAAGAAATCAAAGACATGAGCTCTGTGCTACTGATAGTAAAAAAAAACTCAGAGAGTTAGACACTATCATTAGATTGAATGTCACGCTAAATAATCGCCCTTATGATTCATTACTGAAACTTATTTGAATTACTCGAGTAACATATACGATGCAAACACACTAAACCAACCTATAATTCATTAAATTTTACAATTTTAAAATGCCTAAGAATGAGGGTAAACTGACACGTTGAAAAATATTTTTAATGTACTGAGATAAAGACAGTAGTATGAAACGTGGAACTCGACACATCAGTACATCAATTCAAGTAGCTAACATCCCGTTAAGACAGAGAGATGAAATTTTCGGGGTAAATCCCAGAGTGGTAGAGGTAATAACAGTATTAATAATATCTAGTCATTGGTTATGATAATCACGTGGACCCTAGTCAGGTAATCTCTACATATTTACATGGTTCAGTCAAAGATAATAGAGTGATGTCAATCCATGGATGTCTGCAACTAAAATGCAACGAAAGTCGTTACATATAAGTATGCAGATAAGCAAATCACTTAGTTTATTTCCAAATGTGAACAATGTGAAGATTTTTTTGAGTTTTCTCTGTAATATCGTGACATCACACATCAACTCAACAAACCAGTAATAGAGATACGGTAAAAGATATCATAAATACAGCAACCGGTGATTGCCAGTATATACTATTTCCAGAAGGACACCGTAAGTGGTTGAATAAAAATCTACCAATCGTGAAAATTTTCAAAACGAGAAGTGTAAGTGATAACCTAAAGGGTGAACACGAAAAATGTGAGAGAATGTCATCAATATAACAAAAAAATTCACATCTCCTGGGCATCACTGAAAACACCTTTATGACATTAGATCATAAAACGCTAATGGTCTGGTAAGTCAGTCAATATAAGATTCATACAGGTATGTATATTTGTAATTTCAAGTTTCTAAACTGGTAAACGTCAGAAGCAAATAATAATAAGTTGTTTCCTAAAAATAAGGCAAAACAATGTAGTAACCTTTAGATATTCGCTTAAACATATTTCGGAACGACAATTCTAGTTTTAGGCATGTTGTCTTTCGCTTAGCATTATATAATTTCATGTGACGCGAATTAGAACCGATAAAACATTATTGTTTGTTAGTCAATTCTAACCAAAAAATCAATACATTATGAAACTTATTTATATTCGGATACGTCATGCTCTCGTTGGTAAATGTGTAAATCACAAAATTTTCAATAATGTCTTGCTTTTGTTTGTTGTTCAATAACTACTAATAACCAAGATTAAAGAAAATTTAACACAGAAGCCTCATGTAATTTAGTTTCATAAAGCATAAATCACAATAGAGTCAAACAAAAAACGGTAACTAATTTTAATACACGTTATATGGGTAACACATTGCATAAAAAACAATATTTACAATAACAATAGAAAGTAAGTAATCAGCCACTAGGTTATGGAGCAAACCTGTTACATAAAACTCAATGATATTAAGTGGCCAACAAAATCAATTAGAAAGGTTTAAATAGGTGACTTTATCTTTGGAAATCTCATATGTTCGCGAATCATTGGCTGAAACTAGAATCCATACGTTTTAATTCTAATATAGTTGTACAAATAGTTTGGTGACATGAACTTATTCATTTAAAAGACATTAATATTGACACAACTGTGTACCAAAATCAATATACATTTCATAAAAAGAACGAAACTGTGATGAAATAAAGAAAGGCGGAGAATACAGTCCCAACAAATAAATGAGTAAGAAAAGAAGTGGATGAGAATAGCGTAAAATAGAAAGTCCAGTTAAAGGTACAACCAAGAAAACATTTTCCGGTTCAAAGAGTTTCTCTCACTTCCCTCTGCGCCATGAAAGGATACTTCTTATTGAAGTATCTGAAAAGGAAACTGAGTTAGATGTGGTCTTAACTATCCGGGAACGTGAACTTAGTGTCTAAGGGTTAATTGCTTCAAACCGGTTACACACCACCTCTTTGTGAGTAGTTATGAATGATTTAGCTCTTTACTTTCAATGCTATACTACCGACTATGTAAATCTATAGCAAAGTGAGATAAGCTGTTTTCAGGGTCAATCTTCACCAATCTCCTTACGTTTTGGGAAGGTAGCATCACTGAAACTGGCAGATATTTGAGGGTAATACCTTATTGCCTTCACAGTCATTTACAGTCAGCCAGCAGTTTGTTGTTTTTAGTTTTACCACACTGACCGACCTGTCTAGTGTGATAGGAGGACATTAAGGAACAAATTTTCCAGCAAAAGTAGCTTAACTGGGTCATCATAATACCAAGGTACGACCATCACATTAAGACAGAAGAAGCGAATAGCAATATTATCTTTAGCAACTGAAGTTTTACTAAATATTTACTACATAAAAATCAAGGAACAATGTTAGTGAATGGGAAAACCACTACATATCAGTTATAGTACAATTCAAGGGAAATTAGAATAGGTTAGGATAAGTGTTAGGGTGATCCAGAAATCGCTTGCAAAAGACAAGCAAGCATCAAGAAACACTAAGAAGTGTTTCGTCCAATCAACGTTCACTTGGAGTCTTGGCCAGAAATATCAAGGTAGCGAAACGTCACATACGGAAGCTCTGATTGGTTGGCTACTACAGTGCTACTACGTTTAGTAGCATCCCAGAATATTCCAGCGACCCAAGGACATTTAAAATATTATAAAAACCCTATATTTTCTGTAATAAAATGAACCATGGAGTAAAGTATTTTCCCTCATACTTGCGTCTTCTCTCTGGTGTTCAAGTCGCTGTGTAGTTCTACATTGCAGGTTACCAGAATAGCTTAGGAAACCAATATAACGTTCAATCGATAAGACTTATCAATAAGTGAACTTATTTATGTTGAAATAATATATACATTATATTATATATCAAAGAATATAAAATGTATAAACACAACAAAAACGGCAACAGTGATGTTGATGATGATAACACATTCATGATAATAGTGAACTTACCAAGTTTCACCTCAGCATTATCAGTGAGCAATACATTTTGACCTTTAATGTCTCGATGAATCACACGATTTGCATGTAAATGCATAAGACCCTAGGAAAGAAAGTAAATTTTATTTAAAATAAATATATTCCAGAAAATGAATGGAATGCATATGGAGGAAGAAACAAACCTAAGAACGAAACAAGTTTACCAAAAATAAAACAATGACCTTTCAGATATAGGTCATAATATTTTAATAAATTACAGTGTCAGTTAAAGAATTTTTAATTCCAAAAATCTAAAAACGAAGCAAAATTATTGAAACATATCAAATTGTAATTTAAAAAAATAGGATTTTTAAATGCAAGTCTCATTTTTTTCAAAACTCACCATTAACTGAATAGACAACAGTTAATTACTAACTATCACATATAAATGTTTCTCCATAGGAATGAAATAGCAACCCATAATGTAAAAACAGATGAATTAAATCACATTGATGTCTTTTCTCAGAAAAGCTATTGTGAGTTTGAATACTATATGTCATATTCAATCGGTTAGTTACAACGTAGAATCTGGCACTTACGCACAACGGTTCAAGTTGTCAAACCTAATTAGTACAGTGAAATGAAATTGTAAGGCCTAATTCCAGAATAGAAGAGGTAGTAACAGTATGAATGGTTATAGGAAATATTAAGCGTCGAAGATAAAACTCTATGAGAAAATATAAACTAGTGAAATATAAAAACATAAGAAGTTAAGGGGAATTTAGCGGATGCACTGCACCATTGCAAACGATTTCGAATCATGTCAATCAAAGTCACTAACCATTAGTAACGATAACCACATGGACCCCAACTACGTAGTCTACACCTATTAGAATGATTCAGTCCAATGATCAGTCTTCATGGACTTGTGCTTTGTTTTCATTAGGCCGCCTCCTTAGCCTTTTTCCAGCTTACTTGTACACCAGACAACATCGATCTTCGATGTAGGCGGTGGTTGAGTATACGTGACACATATGTTCCAACCACTTCGGTTGACTAGGATTCACGATACCCTAACAAGCTCAAAAACACTATTAGAAGATTAATATATATTTGCACTAAAGATACATCTCAAACTATTCTGTTTTATTGTTGAAATTTCAATCTTTTTATTAGAGATGTGATTAAATTGGGAGTAGTAACTTTTTAAAAAAATCAGCAAACCATGAATTCATTTTTGTATTGAAAATTTGTTGTTGTCTCTTTCTGTAAAACAAATTTTAAATGCTTTCCTTAACACGAAAACAACCCACCTTGTTAAACTAAGTTTACAAGACAATTTTAATTACTGATGAGAAAAGACATTGTTTAATTAAAATTCATTGAAAGTGAAATTATTTGACAGAGAATTATTCATATAGTAATCTCTGTTTATGAAATGATTGAAGAACAATTAGTCTAAATATGAGCACAAGTTCAGAATCAGTTGGAAATAAATATCGTTTGTAGAAATGCGAAATTCGCGTCTGTGATTGCATAAGTTTGATCAATAGCATTTGGTTTCCAGTGTCCTCATAACTAATATAATAACTTTATATTAGTTTTTCAAGACAAAACTAATTGTATCTTATGATAGTATTGATTTAAACTATACAACCCTAAGGTGTACACTCACACAGTGATAAACTGAATGTTCAGAGAAACGTTTTGGTCTACATAGAATAGAATAGGAACGTTATAAATGAAAATTTTATCTCATTTCTCTGGACGCCATACCTAGATTCTAATCATGATTAGTATATTATGTATTCACCCTTATAATGTTCAAATAACGTTGGAATTAGTTTGCTTATGAAAATTGTTATTTAAACTGTAAGTTTATTTATTTATGTTTTGTTAAAACAATTGAAAGTTTATTTGAAATAATTTTATCATGTGTCTAAAGATACATAATCTACATTAATAGTTAGTTGTTCATTATATTCATCGCAAGATTCAATATAATCGACACTATTTTCCACATTCATGGATTGATTACTAACTGAAAATAGCCAAATTGCATCAAAACGTCTGACGAAAATAGCATTGGATTGAGATGAGGTTCTTTTCCTCCTAATGTAAAATGTAACTTCAAGATTGGTTTGCGTCACCCCATGAATTAATGATCGGGAGTGAAATGGTTGAACTCATCGACTGCTCCACTTATCTTAGGAGTCTAACCAGTTCTGATGGTCTGGCATCTGACGAAACCTCGGCAAGGATTCAGAAGACTTGATTAGTTTTTATCAACTTGCGTCATTTGTGGAGTAGGTGAGATACCCGTCTTCCAAATAAAGGACGAATTTACCGTGCAGTTGTTCATTCCGCTATAGTTTATGTATATAAAACATGGCAATTGAAAATGAAAGATATTCTTAGGTTATTGATATTCGATGATAAGTATCTTCGAAGCATTGTTCATGTATTTCTGGAACCCTGCGTGAGTAATGCCTGGTTTAAGAATAGAGTGCTAGGTAAAAATGGTAAATCGATAGATGAGGTAGTAAATCATCATCAACTGAGGTGGTCGGAACATATGTGTCACGTATACTCAACCACCGCCTACATCGAAGATCGATGTTGTCTGGTGTACAAGTAAGCTGGAAAAAGGCTAGGGAGGCGGCCAAATGAAAACAAAGCACAAGTCCATGAAGACTGATCATTGGACTGAATCATTCTAATAGGTGTAGACTACGTAGTTGGGGTCCATGTGGTTATCGTTACTAATGGTTAGTGACTTTGATTGACATGATTCGAAATCGTTTGCAATGGTGCAGTGCATCCGCTAAATTCCCCTTAACTTCTTATGTTTTTATATTTCACTAGTTTATATTTTCTCATAGAGTTTTATCTTCGACGCTTAATATTTCCTATAACCATTCATACTGTTACTACCTCTTCTATTCTGGAATTAGGCCTTACAATTTCATTTCACTGTACTAATTAGGTTTGACAACTTGAACCGATATGCATACGTACCAGATTCTACATTGTAACTAACTGACTTGTTAAGGTGTAAGTCACATTCATTATTTAACATATACAAATTCAATATAATATTCTTATATATAGAAAGTTAAATATTGATATGAGAAAATAAGAAAACAAAATTACGTTTTTAACTTGTTATCACTTTTTGTTCAAGATTACTTCCATTTTTAATTTAATATGATGATTACTCAGTGTAATATTTATTTTATTGTCAATGTGTTATTTTATGCAACATAACATTGATATATTACAGTATGATGTTTAATCAAGATACAATATTCTTTGTATTAGTATTAGATTAACATAAATCAGTGTATTTTCGACTAGGGTCATCATTGTGTTTCAGTGGGAATATATATATACTCTAAGACAGTCGTCAAGTTCTATTCATATTCAATCAGTTCACAGGAATAATAATAATCTACTTACTCGGAGAATTTCTCGACAAATATAAGCAATCCAATCTTCTTTGAGTGATTTCGTGCGAGTACCTAAAACAGTAGAGAAAAGAATGTCATAACAAGACGACGAATCGTCTGAAAAACTAATAATGTGAACTAAAACCAAAAACCTTTTTAAGAAATACTATTAAATAAATAAACGCTACTACTTGCAACAAGGTGATATTGACAAGAAATATATATACAAGAGAATATATAAGCCAAATTTGTGGAAGAGGTGGAAGACTTTATGTACTTAGGTAGTATCACTGATAAATTTGTAACATACACTCATTTTTGCATTAAATTCCTTTTAATTATATTTACTCACTCTTATGTAACTGTTAATCAACTGTTTATTTTTTGTCTATTATCTTGTATATAAGTGTCGTTTCAGAGGAAAAAGAAATCTATCTTGTTCACACTAGTTATATAGTTTACTGATGTTAGCTCATTTTCGTGGCAACGGATTAATAATTTAAGATTCATGAGGAGTTGTCACCTAATAATTTCAATAACAGTTGAGGTAATCAATTGACTGTACGGCGAAAAACAATGTTTCATTGTCATAATACCATTATACTCTATAAATGTGGGACATATTTCCTGAAAGTAAATACAATAGCACATTACAAGTGTATCCATTAACTCATCAAGAGAACAAAAGAATTTATAGAGTTTAAAAATGATCATCAACTGATACGATATTAACCAGTATCATGCATACCTGTCAACTAGCAAACTCTTTATAGACAGCTTGCAATATCAAAAGGTTAAGAAAAGATGAATGAATATCACAGAATAGGATTGTAGTTCAGTTCATAGTGCTGTTAACCGTTGACCCACGTTAGATAGGGGACCATAAGTGATTAGGATCCACCAGGTGTATCTATGTTCGGTGGTTGTAGATTACAACAATAAGACAGAGAATTCGTTCTCATGGTCCAAATGAATTCACCATATTTTATCTTTCTTAGCATTTTGAATACTATCTCAGCCAATAAGCGCACATTTCTTAAAATGCGCTTCTTTTGTGTCTACTAGTTTTTTTAGTTCTTTGTTAATACTGATAACTTTGTTTTCGTTACGTTATTTTTCCTTTGGTTTAATCATAAAAAGAAATTATGGTGAGGATTGAAATAACAAAGTAACAATGGATAAGATACAAATTATTATCCCTACTCTTGTCTTAAATTAAAAAAACTACTCACTTTTTATTAAATCAGCCACTGATCCAGCACCACAATATTCCATAGCAAGCTAGGGATTAATTTTTGTTTAAAAACAAAATTAAAAAACAAACACTTGTTTCACTAAGAAGAAAAACAAACTCGAACAAGGAAAATCTTTAAAAAAGTTGGAAAACAAAAACATTTTCCTGTTGTCGTACGGTTAGTTAAAAGAAAAAAGAATGGAACAACGTTAGAACAACTGTGGTTTGAATTTGTTATTCACACACCATTGCGTGATGAACAAATTTTATTGCTTCCCTCTGTGCACTCCTCAAACCTGTCACCCAATAATATAATATTAAGAATGATATGATCAATTATTATTGTCGTTTTAAGATAGAAATAAAGGCTAATAATTAGAGTAATGATTACCATGATAATGAGCTCTAGTAATCACACTATCACTAGTTTAGATTCCAGTTCAAACGTGGTTGCAGTCAGAGATAACTTTTTCCTCAGTATGTTATAATTTCTATATATTTGGGCGAAAAAGTGTGTATCTAGACATATTGAATATTTATTTCGATAACAATTAAATCGACCATTATTTGTGTTAATACATATGGTTATGGCCCCAAAATGTATCGTTAGGGATAAAGAAAAAACAACTATAGTCGTTTTAATGTCAGCCCCTCCTACAAAGCCCTATGGAATAGTTGGATTGCGCCTAATGAAGAAACCTGGGACGAGCGTTTCGTCCTATTTGAGCCGAATCAGCTGGTCGGACCTGCATTCCAGTGTTAGTGTTTACATCAGAACTCGAACCCAGTACATTTTGCTTCAAACGCTTAACGAGTTATCTGTTGAGCTACTTAGTTCAGATAGCCAGTTAAGAGTGGAACGGGTGTAATTTTCATATCATGATTAGAAGGGGTTTGGATTATCCTGTTATTGATTATCTTGACTGAATTTGATCAGTCTTTGTCGGTACATGTGCATTTTATGTGAGAGCCTTTTTCTGTAAGGAAATGTATACACTATTCAGTAGAATTGAGAACTTTACTGACTTAAAAAGTAGTAAATTACTGTTCGCTAATAAAGTTCTTATTTTGCTAAATGGACAATAGTAATGGTCCTGTTGCTTCTGTGCTTGAGTTAATTTGGTAGAAGTATTCTAGTATTATCACTAGCCCTTACGAAAAAAATGTTACAGAGACGAATATATAAATATGAACCTAATAGATTGAATTTCATCATAGGATATAGTGTTTGGTATCATTCGCTTAACGATGCCTGATTGATTTTCTGAGTTTTCTCTTTAGTAAGCTATATCATCATTATCATGGATAGCAAAGAATAGATGAAGAATCAGTCATAAATTTGTAACAACACAAAGAACTGGAAAGATATTGTGAAACAGTTTTACCATATTATTCCATTGTCTGTTTGTACTATTCCCTTTATACCCAACAGACATTAACAGACAACCATCGATATAAAAATGTCAACAATGAAGAGGATGAAGCGGTTGATAAATTGATAAACATAGAATTGTTTTCAATATATATACAAACATTATGGGAGGAGTAGAGAAAAAAAACTGGAAATTGTCACAAGCTTTTCATATTTGCTTTATAAACACAAAATATGTCTGTATGATTATGTGTCCACCACTTACCATCATGGTGAGTGGGATGCATCTTCGCATTATTGTATAAATAACACATACGCACGACAATAATCAGAAATATGTGTGTAACGCTAAAGATAGAGAAATTAAAAGGAATGCACTACTTTGTCCAAAGTATACATACAAGTACTATACTAATGAGTCAAGCTATCGATTGATTTGATTTTTTTTTGTTCCATTACAAGACAGGTGAATAAAACATGGCAGACATAATTTCTATGTCCACAACGCAAAGATTAGATGGGAAAAGAAGTACGACCTTGTGACTAATGCATTGTTGAGGCTACACATAAAACAATGAATAGCTTGAAAACATTAATAGTCTGATTCGCTTTCGACCAACTATAAACACGAAAACTGATGATCTAGGTGTTACTCATAAGGAACAGGATAAGATATGGTTTGACATGAGTTCTGTGGTCGTACAAGTGATATTCAAGCATATGTTAGAAGCGAAGTCAATGATAAAACTAAGCAAATGGAAAATCAGGCTACTGAAATGAATGTATATATATTAGTACAATAAGAAAAACTTTTAAACATTGTACACTTCTTGCATATTCCAAAGATTTGTAATGATGAGATCAATCGTATTACGTACTGTGTTTACATGTACCCTAGCTGCTTGATGTTTAGTTTTCTTGAGTTCATAGGAATTTATGTTAAAGTCTGAATAAAGTGACAGAATAAATATCTATACGAAAACAAGTAGTCAAGGTTAAATTGTAGAAAATGATAAAAATTTGTTTAGTGGTAAAATGAAAGTCTTTTGTAAACTATAACCCTAAGGAATCTATAACAAAATAAAAATGAGCTATCCTGGTAGTCATTAATATATGATAATCAGTGGAACATCAATCTTTGTCCGTCTTCCAATAAGTGGGGATATTTTAAGATATGAATGAAAAGAATTGACTCAAATGGTACTTTGTTCCAGGTCAATTATTTTTAGTACATAACATCAAATCTTCACTTTTAGTAAGTGCGATTCCCAGTCACTTAAAGGATAGCAGACAAGAACTTTAACCAATAAATATAATTTGAATCTTCCCATTGATGTTTTAGGACTGAAATTGATCAGTCCTAAAACATCAATTGGAAGATTCAAGTAAAACAATACCAAGTGAGTTAAAGTTCAATAAATATCACATTTACTTAGCCTTTCATAACCTATTGTTATCAAAGATTCCCGACCTAACTTCAGTAAACCGAATGAAAGCGTGTTAAACACAATTGCATTTTAACTCAGTCACTGGTGAATCACACAATAAGTTAATTTTTATCCTAATTATATTGTTTAATCATCTAATCACTTATTTTTACTATGATTATTTATGATCTTACATCCCTGAATTTATGTAAATAGGTTACGCAGATATTAAGATGTATCAATGTCAACTATACTACTTAAATTTTGTAATGCTTCTTCACTATTTGACTATCTAATTCCTTTATACCTTGCATCTCAACTCCACTAAATTAAGTATCTGGAACCCAACCATATTTGTTTTAACTGCAGTTGGACGGTAACATTTGACAACGACTGAAATCATTTTATTTTATATATCTCATTACTATTGCTCTGTTTATAATAATTTCTAAATCGAAAGATTTGTTTGACTAACGAATTACATTAAAACCATTAACAGAATAATATTTACAATAAAACAAAATAGTCGTTGTGAAAAGAGAAATGAACAAATTCAACATAGTGATAACTTTATTAAAAATTTAAAATTGTTATGATTAGTAAAAAATATCTTACCCAAAGATGATCACGAGGTGAAGATTTTTTAATAAATGCACCATAATAACTAGCAATATTTCGATGATTCGATAACTAAACAAAGCAAGAAAATAAGCAACAATAGTGAATACAAAAGAATCTGACAAATGTTAATGTAAAGAATTTAAGAAAACACATCTTACAAATTGATATGTTGATTTTAGACTAACTAAATACAGTTTAAATAATGTTACATACAATACATTGTTCATTATTTTGGACAATGAATATGAATAATTGAAGTTATTATCATACATAACGTCTAATGGTACTACTTGATTGATTAAATTTCGGTAAACATAAACAATATTGTAATCCATGATTCATTGAGTGAATAACAGACAGATAAATCAAGTGGATGTACAGGATGAAATAGCAGGATAAACTAGAAAAGTCATATCGACAAAAATTTATCAAAGTACTGTGAGATAACATTTTCCCCTGTCAAAATTAATATTATACGTTTAATGTATACATATAAGCTAAGAATTATCTGATTTCACCTTAAATTCAGTGAGTACCGTTGATAACTACACTTTCTATGATAGAGTAACAAAGTACATTATGTATTCCCAAAACCAGAAATAAAAAAATTGGAGATATTTTTTGGTATTACATGACTTTAGAAAATATTCTAGTTGACTCTAGTTATATCCTGAAATATGTAGCGAGAAACAATAATAACAAGCACATTAAAAGCACAGAAGATACCTACATCTATTATGGTAGATCCGCGTTAAGTTTAGAAGAATGACTTCAAGTAAAATAAATCTGAATCCTTAACAAAGAATAAGTATGTTGACAAACAGTCCATTTTATCTCACTATACAGATATGAAACGCGGATCGTGGAAGCAGAACAAAACAACAAATAACAAGTGGTCAGTAATACGTGCCTTCAAATAACTATTTCAATTTAGTTCCCGAACTATCAAGAAAACAATAACTGTTGAAGAATACAAATCAGTTGATGAGTTTTTAGGCAACCATCAACTAACTCCGCGTATACTTGTTAACACATTAACTCGTTAAATGAAGGTTGCAGTGAGAGTAGGATGTTAGACTGGGCTATGACTTAAGTTCATAAATTTTTACCCATTGATCCAAGATACAAGTGAGATAGTATGCTGCCTGACTGACGTTTACAAGGAAGCTGTGAGTAATAGTTGAAAACCTTAGACTATAGTTATGGTGCACATTAATCCAACATCTATACTTCCCTAAATCTTAAAAATTTTGCTAATTAATAACCATAGTATATTTTTGCTTGTTTCTTTCCTTGGTTTATTTTAATGTTGTTCCTAGGAACTGTATACCTCTTTCCGACGTGAAATATGATAATTTAAAAGCCCACTTATCCACACCAGGTAAAACTTTACTAAATTCGAATACACTAGAGAGGTTGCATGTGTTATAAGTGAGTATCCTTTATATTATCACCGCCGAATGAAACAATAGAGGATATGAAGGATTAAAGTGATTGGAGAAAAATATGAGAACACCTTATAAATCCACAATGACTATTAACCTGGATCGTGTAGTTAACTGTCGACAGTATATTTATTTTATTTACTTATTTAAACACATAAACATTGGTACAAGGAGGCACCAAATAGATATGCGCCACATACATCATTCGATTTGTGTGAGGGCTGGGATACTGCCCGGGTGCCCAAACCGAAGTATATAAGAAAACAGAAACTAATAATATATAACTTTGAATAAAATCGTGGATTTCAATTTATCGTAATGAGACATACATTCACATTTTGATCCCTAACGTCAGACCTACTGTCACATTAAAGAGGACTTGAGAAGTGTTATAACTTGTGGCTTGTGCCCTATTAATATATAACGCAATGATACCGTCAATTAGAGAACGGTGATTTATCGACCGGACCAATGACGCGTAAACCCGCACGAGCAGTCTAGAGAATTTATCGGCCCTTCTTCCTGCCTAACCCTGCCTGTTAAGTCCACAACACCAATCTCAGCTTTCGTAAATCGATTCATGTATTTCAAACATACTGGGTTTATATACAAACCAAACAGATCACATCGAATCATAAAATAGAAAATAACATTTGTACAACATCTAGCCAAAAGTGGCTGCGAATGTGGGAGACTGTAATTAATAGACTGGGCAGAACTCAAGAACGGTAAATCGTATGATAATAGTCTATGGGTCAAAATAAAGCTTTTTTTAATAAGAGAAACATGAATATGCATAGTTTAGCTACTTAACAATTATACAATAAAAGTATGTGTATAGTATTGATCCATAAATAGTTTTCAAGAGTTACCATTTATAATTGTCATCATGACAGAACAAGTGATGAACTTTTATAACTGTCCTACGCAGAATTTATTGTTTGTATTTTAACTGTATGATCATTCCACGGATGCCTTAGAAATATTACTGGCATCTGCTGGGATCAGCGGGTAAGTAATAGTACGGTGAGACGCATGGTATTAGGGAATGATGGTAAATCAGTTGATGAGGTTGTGAATCTTCGTCGACTGAGATGGTTGGGCCACGTGTTGCGTATGCCTGAACACCGATTACCATGACGCGCAATGTTAACCGGTGTTGGAGATGTTGGAAGAAAGTTAGGGGCGGCCAAACCAAAACGTGGCATCAGTGCTTGAAGTCACTAACTTCTAGTCTGTGTCATGTTAGGAGATGCAGACTACTTAGTTGGGGTCTGCGTGACTATCGTGACCAATAGTTGGAGACTCTGGGTGATACGGTTTAGAATCGATCACAATGGCATCGGTGTATACACTCTCTGTCTTCCCTTAAACTATGAGATTAAAATCGCTTCATATCTTTCTTTCTACTAATTTTTTCTTTCTGCACTATATCCTTATATGCAGTCTTTCTTTTATATATTACCATCATTAAGTTAACTGCTTCTATGAATCCGGTTTTCATCTTGCTGTGCTAATGACGTTTGGCAACTTGGACCGATGCATATATATGCCTGGTTCTACGTTTTAGCTGACTGACTGACCCCTGTACCAATGTTTATGTGTTCAAACAAATAAATATATACTTGCAACACAGTGTGCTTATCTATTGATAAAAAAATTGTTAGTAGATTCAAAATGAAAATTGAAAAAGGCTGTGTAAAATAAACAGAATAAAAAGATGTCTTAATATGAAAGAGCATACAAAAACCATCGATTTCTGCAAAAGTAAACCCTTTAGGTAATAGTTAAAATAAATAATATACGCTGAAGCAACTGATCAATAGACTAAGCTTCTGGTTGCAATTAACTAAAATAGACTCTGGGATCAACAGTGTTTCGTGATATTATCAGTACATATGAAATTAGGAAATAGATTCAAGCGCACCAGAATTAGTTAACAGTTGAATAAATGCATCAACCCTAATGAATTAAGCGAATTTCAACTACATACATTCTTAGAACATGAGTCAAAATATGATGGAACGGTTGTTCGACGACCAATAGATATAATAGTTCCCAAAACAACCTCAATCTTACCTAATTTTGTCAGGCTTCAAAACATAATTATTTAATCTACAAATGAGACGAAAGACTAACCTTTTTTAATGTATCAATTTCCAGCTTAATTTCTTCTTCATCCTCTTCAGTAATTGGCATAACCTTGATGGCAGCTAGCTGACCAGTTCGCGTGTATCGTCCCTTGTATACATTTCCATAAGTACCTTTACCCACAACTTCGATGAGTGAAAAGATTCCCGATGGATCACGTAAATCATCCAAATTTGTTATATCTAATCCACTATTGTTGGACATATTGCTATTGGTGATCTTTAATTTCCGAGGTAAAAACAACAATTAGCTAGACCGGAGTCTCCAGATCACTTGAAGTATGTTTTACTAGGCGAAATACAGAAAATGAAGCACTCATAAGAATATGTATAACATGAGTATGAAGAACGAGTTGGTGATTAGAAAGTTGGATTTTTGTGATCTAATCGATTAATACCTATTGGTATAAACTCTATTTATACAGATCACCTTCAAATATTGATATTTTATTATAGAGGATAGTTTAGAGGATAACTTGCTGCTTAGTTTAGTCAAGCTAACATGTAAGATTTTATAATAAATTACTTTTTGGTGTGGAAACAAGGTGGGTGCGCTAGACATAAATTTTGTCACAACTGTTCAAACTTAAAGAAAACATACTAATGTAGGTCAATATGTATCGAATCATCATCTCCCGCAGCAGTTACTTCTGAACAACATAAACTGAACGGACAATACAAGTCATGAATACGGTGACGAGATGAAGGATCCTTTGTTATCAACTAATTTCGCCTTACAGAACGTCAGATAGTGCGAAATAACTTGGTTTACATCAAAATATTTTAGGGACAGAAAGCGAGATGTTTAAGACCATCACAATTACTATGAGAAAATAGATGCGACACCAAGTTTTGAGTTCCAGATGTTGTTCATATTTATGTCAGGTGAGAACGGAAGGTTACTTAATAGCCCATAGACTAATATAGTAAAAATACGTTATCTTGTTTGTCCGAATTGTATAAGAAAGTTAAGACATCCTATACAGAGTTACCACGAAGATGAAAGTCAGCGATTAGAGACACTAGATGACAGCTTATAACCTGTTACAATGATGCAGATATATTCACTCATTACTCGTTATTCCTTCTCTCTTCACGTTTGGATATCTTTTATCTTGATAATCATTAAGATGCTACGGATTATGGTAACTTGATTTTGTACATTTCCTCAGGGTTCTAGATTATTATGCCTATCTGTTAACTAATTAATTGATTGATGGTACACTACTGTCTACTAGTTTATGATAGTTTATAGACACATGACTAAACATGAGTTGATTAGTCCTTTAATGATACGACCAAATAATCACATGTCTGCGCATTTTTCTCATAATAACTGAATTTAATGTGAAATCCTTTATTTTACTTAGGGTCTCTAAAGAGAAAAATTGCAATACTTAATTGATTTTCTTTAATGTGATGAAAAAAATGTTAGCCATTTTTACAAAACTCAAAAATACTTATCTTAACAATAATGTAGGATTGACAGTGCAACTAGTCGACGTAATTTCAATAAATGAAACAACTGGGTTAATAAAATGTTGAAAACAGTTATTATAGATTTTGTAAAAACTGTATCTAGGTATTTATATAGTAAATCAAACACTAAAACGACAATAAATCGCACTCCATTAAAACCAGACGACCATAAACTAAAACTGAATGAATAGAGTTTGAACATTTTGGAAAACATGTTTACAAGATTTAGAAATTCTAATATATTTGATTTGAACTTCTACACTAACTGGATTGGTAAGAAAGGACTCCCAGTAACAATCATTGACTTCGTAAACTGATGCGATAATAAAAACTTGTTTACCATTACCTATACTTCGGCCAACGACACAGATTGAGACCAACTAGTCAGTAATATACATTACTTTATCTCAACAATCACACATGAATTAAGTTGTTAACCATTACAAATGATCGACTTTCTCTACCTAAAGCAATTCACAGAACACCAACTATATTAAATGACCAAAACTACTCTTCAAAACAATGATAAAGATGCTCGAAGAATTAATATATCATTGACCATATATAGACGTTACCACACTAAAAATTTTAAACAGCATGGTAGTCAGTCAGTCAGTAACAACGTAGAACTTCGTACGTACGTGCATCAATCCCAGTTGCCATACCACATTAGCACAGAGATGCAATTGTCGATTCACATCCCGTAGTGGTAGAGGTAGTCAAAGTATAAGCAGTAATCAGGAAGATTAGGGTTTGAAGATGTTATTCAAGGAGTATAATACAGTGAAATAAATTTGGAAAGAAAAAAAAGAGACAAGGAGGAATCAGATCAAAATTTGGGAGAACACAAAGAATGGATACACCTGCGCCATTGCAAACGATTTTGAACCATGTCATTCAAGGTCTCTAACCATCGGTTGCTATCATCTCGCGATCCCCAACCAGGTAGTCTACACCTACCAATATGACTCAGTCCACTTGTCAGTGACTTCATGGACTTGTGCCATGTTTTGGTCTGGCCGCCTCTAGCTTTCTTCCAACCTACTCCTATACCACTGAACATCGCACGTTGAGGCAGTCGGTAGTTGGGCATACGTACCACATGTCCCAACCATCTCAACTGATGAAGTTTCACTACTTCATCAATCGATTTGCCATCCTTACCTAGTACCCGTTTCCTAACAACTACATTACTTACTCCATGGTCCCCGGATATATGAGCAATGTTTCGGGGACACCTATGATCGAATACTAGTAACCTGCTAATATTCTCTACTCTTACCGGCCATGTTTCACTGTCATAAAGTAGGACGGAACGAACTGCTGCGCAGCAAACACGTTCTTTGGTTGATAGACGGATATCTCGCCTACGCCATAAATGACACAAGTTATCAAAAGCTAGTCGAGCCTTCTGTATCCGTGCTGAGATTTCGTCACACACCAGACCACAAGGGCTGATGAGACTCTCAAGATAAGCGAAGAGGTCGACAAGCTCAATTACTTTCCTCCCTATCATCAGTTCGGGTGTCAATGCAACCCAATCCTGAAGTAACATTTTGCATTCGAGGGGGGAGAATCGCATCCCGAACATGCTTGTATTGTTGATTAGATTGGTCAGAAGACTCTGCACTTTGTCAGACACTTCACCAAATAGAACTGTCATCAGCATATTCCAAATCAACAAGTGAATCTCTCGGTAGAAATTCAACCCGCGGAAATTTAGATGAGGGAAGTGTTATCTCTAAAAGCGCGTTAACGATAAAGTTAACCAAGAATGGAAAGAGTGAAGAGTCCTGACGAACACCACTTGAGGTAATCAATTCTGATGACAGTTCACCATAAGCTCTCACTCGACCAGTTGTGTTCGAGTAGAGAGCCTTTATAAAGTTAATGTATTTCTTTAGTACTCCTTCCAATGACAAACACTGCCGTAGAACCTCACGATTAACAGTGTCAAATGCCGCCCTAAGGTCGTGAAATACTACGATTGTGGGGGGTCCTAATGTGTGTCTATGTTCTAGGACCTGACGTAGTGTGAATATCTGGTCTATACAACCACGTCCAGGTCGAAAACCAGCCTGATTTTCTCTAGTCTGTTCTTCATGAGCTTTGGTTAGGCGTCGAAGTATTATTGAAGCTAATATTTTAGACACTATATTTGTCAAACTGATTTCTCTGTGATTGTCACAAGAGGACTTTTGTCCTTTCCTAAAAACTGGCACAATCAGTGATTGAGACCAGTCATCAGAAGGGATTACGTCCAGTTCCCAAATTCTACCTAAGACCTCAGTTAATCTCACTGCTAATACTGAACCACCATTCTTAAAAATCTCAGGAGTAAACCTGTCAGGGCCTGCTGCTCTCCCTCGCTTCAGATTTCCTATGGCTTTTTCAACTTCGTAAAGAGTCGGAGGACCTACATTAACTTGCCATTCAGCTTGACTGGAGATCGTGGGAAACCGAAGTGTGGCTGAAGGCCAGTTGAACTGATTCCTAAAGTGTTCTGCCCATCGATCCAATCTCCTGGATTGAGAATGTAAAACCTCACTTTTTTGAGATTCACTTTGCATAAAGTATTTCAACAAATTTATTTTAGGGAAAAATACATACATACATAGGACAATAACCGGACACCGAATAGAACAAGAAAATAGTTTATTGACTACCAGTCAATTATTATTCAACTTACGAAGATATTCTGTCATAAAGAAGGGCCTGAGTTTTATATATATATATATATATATATATATATATATATATATATATATATATATTCGGGTGAAAAGCATTTAGAACTTCAGTACACCTGATGACCCACTACCATAAAACTCATCAACTAACAAGGCAAAATGAGGCTTTCAAACCGAAAAATATAACAATAATCAGGTTCCTGTAATTATTCCCATATGTAGACATAAAAATATATGTGCGATGATCCTTAGTGGTAAACATCAAAAGCAAAACTTGTACGAAAGGGAGGTCGCAAAAGTAATATTATGTAACTGTCGAGACTCCTAAGAGGCGAATTAAAAACAAATAACAATACAGACTTAGAGGTGAGGTCAAATGTAAGGCGCCAGGTTAGAAATCCTAGTCAGTTGATAAAGCTGTTAAGTAACATCGACTTAGGTGACCATGATATAGCCTACGTTCTTTAAAGTGGTGAAACTTATGAAACGAGTGTGGGGTCCCAACTCCAAATCAATATTCTCAATCTGTACCAACCTACAAATGTGGATACAAGCGTTTCTTCACGAAGTTGACAAAGACCAAAGTTGAACTGTTAGGGAGAGTCAATCTGGAACGAGCAAGTCAATCAAAGTTCACGGTGCATATATTGGAACAAAATGTCTATCAAACATAAATAATAGTTTTTGATAACAAAAACATTTTTAGATACGTAACCTTAAGGTTGAGAGTAATATTTAGTTATGGCCTCGACTAGTGGAACTACACTTTATGGACGACCCTCAGCGACCTTTTGGCCAACAACAATACGTGATACAAACCAATAATTTATTAAAGAAAACCCAGAAAATTAAAATGTATATACGATTTGCGCATGATTAATGAATTTTTTAAGAGTCCGTAATCAGCTCGTAGGTATGAAAATCAACTTTAGTGTGATACGGAATTTCGTCCATATTACTGGAGTTCATTTTACCTTTAGAACCTTTGTAAGGTTATATGAGGTTCTTTAATCGTAACTGCACTGATTAAGCATTA